ACTACACTGTGCTAATTACCTTAGGTAATCTTTGAATTTAATATATGTTTGTTGTTATTGATTTTTGCTTTTTCTGAAATTTTGTGTCTTTTATTATTTTAATATTCTATATGAAACTAAATATTGCTTTGACAGCAGCACTCCTAATGTATAGAGAGGATATAAAAAGATTTTTCAACAGAATTGACCTCTCAGTGACAAAGAAAATTGCAGTGGAAGACACATTATTGTAGAGTCCTATCAGAGTCTTGGATCTATGGAGAGTCTTACTCCAGTGTCCTCCAGCTTTTCCTTATAAACCAAAATGGCTTACAAATGTCATCTCCAATAGTCCAATAAAGATTAGGAACAAAACACTGTCCTTACATTGATGAGATAAAAAAGATTTAACTGCAGCATGCAGCGTATAAGGCTTCTTCTCAAATCAGAAAAAGAGAATTCACATTATATTTGTGTGTGTCTAGAATTTAATTGAGATGATCAGTTTATTTTCTACATAATGTTTGATCAGATGCCTGCATCACAGAGCAAAATAAAAAGAAAACAAATTCTATCAGGAAAATTAAGAAGTCCTGTTATCTACAGGGCGTGCAAAATATGTTAGGAAATAATTCTACCCTGAGCGCTGAGAATGCCCAGTTAATAAAAAAAGATCAGCCACTCGCTAAGAGAAAATAATTGTCTGTATATTTTTCAAAGCAAAAACTCAGTCACATCTTACACTAAATAGGACACATTAAAATAAGCTTTAATAATCTTTATGCAGAAGGAAACTAATCCATTTTCAGATCATACGATCCACAGCAATAAAAGGAAATCATCAAGCTAAAAACAATTTTAGAAATGGCTGCAGACTCTCATTTAATTAACATGCAACAGATCATATATTTATGAGGAAGTCAAAATATTTAGGAAGCCTATAATCCTGTAAGCCTTAATGTGGTATAAAAACAACAAATAAATGCAAAGTGTTACTGTTACACATGCCTGCCTGATCAATGGTTTTCACATATTGATCTATAAATGGAGTTGACAGTCTGTGTTGGCTGCACATTTTCCAAGCAGCGCTATTTTTGCACAAAACCAATACGGGCAATTACCTTTGTTTGAGATGCCAAGTCTTATCAATTCAATGTGATTTAGTGTCATTTTAATTAAATATCAGGACCCACTTCAGGACAATTTATACAAACAAAGCCTCAAACCTCACTATAAGCTTGATTTGAAGTAAACATGGACAAACCCTACGATCTCAAAAACTCTGCTAAACAGAAGGCTTATATTTTTAGTAGCAATTTTTATGTCTGCCTTTTTTGGCTAGCCACAACTTTGGCAAGTATCCTATAATCACAGAAGTAAGAAACAAAAGAAAATTGTTTCCTCTTCATCCTGATAATACATTAAAAAGAAAAATGAACAAGCACAGTTTGTTAATGGAGGTAAAAGGAGACTTGCATGTGAATATTTAGGAGTGGTTAGAACTTAGTCTTCAGCTGAACACCAATAAAAAGATATTTTCCTATTCATGATAGCCATGAATGAAGTAATGCCCTTCTGTGGGTTTGCAAGATGGGAACAGTGAATATTCATACATGTTGCTGTTTAAGACACCAGCATTAAATGCTGAGATTGCTCCAGCTTGCAAATCTTATGTCTGCAGTTTCCTGATTTGGGCCATTTAAACTCTTCATTAATATCTATTCTGAACTGTCTAGTAGGCTGGAGCATCCCCTTATAAATAACAACAAAGCACGTTAAACCTTTGCATTAGCTATTTGCTGGATTGTACATCATTAGCCCTTTTAGCCTTTTCAGCCCTTAAACAGGCACACTTCACTTGCACCATTTACTGGCACTCAGCTTTCTGCTTTTCTGTTTGGCACATTCTGGTAAACAAGCCATCCACCTTTAAGAGGGCTCACTCTGGGGCTCAGGATGAAATCACAAATCACAGGAACCAGGGAGCTCCTTCCCCAACAAATGCAGTTTTCTAATCTCTGTTATGGACAGGCGATTATTTTTACAAACTACATCCCTCTACTCCAAGCTTCCCTTCTCTCCAACATTTCTGAAATTCCTTTGAATTTTGAAAAAGATTGATTTTATTAACCAAATCAAACTGATTATTTAGTGTTTAGAGAAATGGATGTATACCACCAATAAAATACTAATGGAACCTTCATACCTGTTTTATTGAAATGCTTCCCTGAAACATTTAGGTCATCAAAATTTCTAAATTAACAAGTAAACTCACCTCCATTTGCACTGTCTAATGTTGAGTTTGTACTGTTTTGTGTTGCTTATGTTGCCATTTCAAAATACTCTTCAATTTAAGATAATTAGAGGCTCTTATGATATATATTTATATATGTATATATATGAGAATTTCATACTATGTTCTAAGAACACAGAAATATTAAAATATTCTAACTGAAAAAATTAAATAGAATTTATGAATTAATGATAAAATTAGAATTGCATATTTAAAATCACTTTTGTAATAAACTAAGTCATTATGGATGTAAAATCAGATTCTTGTGTTATTATATAGTCTAATATGTCCATATCAGACTTGCATAATTGTTATACTGGTGAATAAGTATTATTCATAGGACATTTTTATTAAATAGAATGTATACTATACATATGGTCTGTTAAGTACCCAGTTTTTTCTGTAGAAATTACATGTCTGTCACAGCAAACTGTGCTTCATATGACCATGTGCATGTATTTTTAGAACACCTCTCTTCTCACTTGTCCTAAATTCAAAGTCTCCCCCTTGACCTCACCCTATCACCCAACTTCTGAAAAATCAAGTTCTTAGTTTAGCTTGAGCAGATAACTTTAACAGGCTTGTTTGAATAAATATGCCAAAATACTTTACATTCTGTCAGGATCTAGTCAGAAAATTGTGCATGGAAAAAGAGATGAAAAGAACCGAGACAGAAAGAGGAAAATTAGTGGCATGGCAAGCTTTCAATACAATATCTCTGAGCCAAGTTTTTTTCAGTGAAATGACATATCCTCACTAAAATATCCCTTTTATATAATTATGCACTGAGCACACATAACCAAAAGTAACTTTTATTTTTGTTCCTTATCGAGGAATGCATATTTCCCAGGGTAAGAATGTGGAAACAAAAGCTGAGATAATTATAGCTAATTTAACTTTGGAAAACTCTTATTCTTTAGCAGTCCAGCATACAACACCCCCCAATCTAAAGTTATGTAACAAGGTAATATCAACAATGAGAAACTGCATGATAAAATCCTGCCCAAAAGTGAAAAATGCTAATTTTGTCTCATTTAGCAGCTGGATACAGAAATGCTCATTAGTTTTAAGAGGGTTAATCCTTTTAACTTTTGCATATTGATATGCCAATTATGCCTAATTGTACAAGAGGCATCAGTCAAGGTAATAGTGCATAAACACATGAAAGTTATTAAGTACATCCCAACATGTAATAAAGTAGGTGTTAATTGGTAGCTGAGTTCTGCGGGCTATTGAGGTGGATAATTCATTGAGAGATGGATCACTTGTAATTTCTCTCCATAATTCCTTTTGCAGTCTCATGCTGTGATGTTTTCATGCTTGTCAAAAACAACTGCGGCACAGTGCCTTTTGTTAAACACAGCCAATAAAAGATGTTAGGCATCATTAAATATACTTAACTTTTAAACTTTTCAAAGGTACAGTTCTTACTGATAATACATACAGAGATTCTAATAACTTACTCTAACTACTGTCTTGAGTTCATAGTTGAAGAACATTTTAAATGTTTTAAAAGTAAAGTCAACTCACATAGCTGTGCCTCCCAGCAGACAACAGTTTTAAATGACCAAGTAAATAAAGGAAAGTGCTTTTCCCATTAGTTACCTATCTAAGGATGTATTTCTCCCTACCCAATCTAATCACTGGCTTCCTCATGCTAAATATATCTGTAACACCTGAGGAAAGAATGATTAAATTCATATATTTCACAAGCTCCTGAGATTGCTGTGGGTTAATTTTTGCATTTGAAGTTCAAGTGAAAAGTGGGAAATAAATATAATCGGTAACATGCTACTCAGCAAGTTCATCTCATTTAATAACTCAGTTAGGGAGCTGAATATTTCATAGGCTCCTATGATATTAACAGAACACTCAATTAATAGCTCACATGTTTCTGCAGGTTACTGGGACTCCCAGCCCATCCCCAACTAACTTATTTCTTGCTCTTGCTCTCACTGTAGAAACAAAATAGACCTGGGGTCCAAAAGAGTGGCTAACATTGCATAAATAATTTTGTAACATCTATGGCCTCAGCTGCAAGTTACCACCATTATGGAAGAAAATTAACCAGGGGAGACTCATCGCAATCAGTGGGTTTAGTGGCTCAGGAGGCGTGCAGGGCCAGGGACACAATTGGCAGTAGAGTTCATCTCTAACTATTTTATTTCAAATCTTCCTAATGACACATTATCGAGACAAAATGGCTTCCTCTCCAAACCTAAAATAGCCACACCATTACAGTCTTTTAAGCCCATTCCAAACCAAATCGTAATTTCTGCTATCCTATTTTATTGGGAGATGTTAAAGAAGAGATTTTCACATTTTTTTAAAAAGATTTTTTTTCTCAGTTCATTCTTAGCTAATTTTAGCCTCTGGCTTTTCAAAGTGATGTACTGTATTTGGAAGTACAAACACCACATGCTAGCATAACCTCATTATTTTTATGACACTGAAGCATGATAGTAGAGGCCCTTAAAATGAGTCGAAGGTGCTCTTCAGCCTAGCTCCAAAGCCACTTTATCACTCTGGATTAGACCCAGCTCTTCTCTTACAACTGGGGATATTATTATGACTATAAGTAGGCAAGATAAAATGCATTACAGAAACAGTTTTCTCATGCACATTAGGGAAACAAGTTAAGCAAAACTGGTTAGTCTGTCTTTTTTTAAAAACAAAACAAAATTCTGTGTGATAAGGGAACGTGTGGTATTTGGAGCATTTGACTTACAGGTTCAGTGACCTTCCCAACATCGGTGAGGATCATAGATTTAGTTTGGCTCAGTCTGTCATGGTGGTTGTTTGCGCTTTTTATTCTCATTTGCACAGCTCCCGTGCCTTGGTGGGTGGAATTCAGCGTTTCCACAGAGGTATCAGAATTTGTAGACTTCTGCATATTACAGTGTTACCCTGAAGAAACAGAAAAACATTATAGTATTCTAAATGTATACTTTGTCCATGAAAATCTCTTGATGGGTGCATATCCCTCTTAATCATTTGAGATATTAAAATTAAATAAGAGTCTTACCTGAGTAGTGAATAAGTAGATAGTTACTTTGTAGTTATTTTATTAACTGGAGGTGGATATTAGTATACATGACAGAGAACTTGAAAAGTTTGTAGGCAGCACAACTTTTGTCTGTGTAATTCCTAATTTAAGAAACTTCTCATAGTTACATGATACAGTCTTCCTTCTAAAGAAGTGATAGTGCTAACTAATCATCTTCAGGATATAAACTCTTCATTCACAAATTCACTGATTGCCCCACTGATTCCTGTCAACACTGTTTTTTGTGTAACAAAATGCTTTATGAATCAGACAAATTTAAGAGAGTAGAACTGGTGCCAGAGGAAAACAAACAGACCTGACAGCTCCCACCTCAAAATATCCATAAGGGGCAAATAAAACTCCTTCATCCACTGCCACCTGCCTATGGAACTAAATATATTAGCTTAGCTGAACATATTTACAAAGAAAATGATGACAAAGAAAATCAGCACTATTTATTTACTTATATTATATATTTAGAAGAAGGAGTCTGTTTTAGGGAAGAAAATCAAGTATGAGCACACACTTTGAAGGAATAGCAGTGAAGAAAAATAACTTGGAAAAAGAAAACAGAGAACTGAACTGTGGCAACATCAGAAGAGCAGCTCTTGCTGCTTCCACACATTCATGATCCTCTTCAACTGCCTTCCCCTAAAGTCCCTTATGTGAACATATCGTCTCATTAAAATAGAAGGTTTGCAATGCAGACACAGCCTCTGCAATGCTAGAGGCAGACTACCTTCCAGCTTGATTGTTGCTTCCAATTATTACCTCCATAGACTGCACACCAGGCACTGAGCACATGGGTTCAACACTGGACAAAATAATGACCAGTCAGTTATAGATGCTGGTAAGAACCAAAAGAACAATTGTATTTTAAGAAACCAACAGTATTAGTATCTTTATTTGCTAGATTAATAATGGGGCTAGAATGATTATAATGGTCAAGTTAGGTGGACACTAAAATGAGTAGAAATGAAAATATTTTAATAGGAGGAAAATAATACTTCACAATTAATAATAGGTAATTGAATAACAGTTTAGAAACAAGTCAATATTTTTAGTTTGCTAGGTGATAAGCAATGGGCTCAGTGGTTAAGTTCTTACAAAACTCCTATGAAGTAAACATCCAACCCATATTTTTATTAAGGAGGAAAATGAAAAGTGGACGGACATATAACTTTCCCAATACCACAGGCAGAAAGAGGTGGAGAGATATGCACCATTTTCAAAAATGGCAACCTAGAGGGACAAATTCTAGTTTATCTCCACAATGAAAACAATAAACAATAAAAAAGACTGTTTACGCATATAACCACATACAGAACTGCAGACTTTTTCTTCTGAGTGAAAAAAGCCAAGGGAAAAAAGTAAAAGGAAAAAGGTAGGGTGGCACAAACCTGTAACCTGCCACTCAGAAGTCTGAGGCAGGAAGATGGAGAGTTCAAGGCCAGTCTGAGCTAGATAGGAAGCCAAGTGTCAAAAAAACAAAACAATAAAATAAAATAATAAAGGGAAGAATACTTATTCTGTGATTTTGCTTATGTAATGTTCTAAAAAGTAAAAATTAACATGTACCTAAAAGCTGAACCATAATTGCTTAGGGAAGAGTGGAACAACTTTAGGGTTGATGGCTATGTTTGCTGTCTTGATTGTAGTGATGAATTTATAGGCATACATACATACTAAAAATGAACAAACTGTGCACTTTAAATACCTGCACTTCATCATACTTCAGATACAACATATAAGTTGTTTATAGGAAAGTTTCTTTAAGAATTCCTCAAATGGAGTGTGGCTCAAGTGGTAGAAACCTGTTTTGCAAATGCAAAGTCCTGATTTTCGAACCCCAGCCCCATCCCTCCCCCCCAAACCCCCCCTCCAAATTTTTTAACCAGCTTGGTGTGGTGGCACATGCCTGTCATCTCAGCATTCAGGAGGCGGAGGCAGGAGGATTGTGAGTCTATGGCCAGCCTTGTCTACATAATGAGACCCTATCTTAAAAAACTCACACACAAACAAAAAGAAGAAGTCTTTAGGCAATTTATTTTGCTGTTATTTTCATTTTGTGTGCCTACATGAGTGGCATATTATTAAAAAGCTCTTTCAGTAAGCTTGAAATAAAATTTGAGATAGAAAAGAAAATTTTATTTTTCTAGAACAGCCCTTATAAGAAAAGTAGGGTTCTCTTCTGAGTGCATTCAAGGCTTGATCTTCAATATTTCTCAGTAGATACTAACTCTAAGTGTGGTGTTTGTAATAGCAGTAGAGGAACTTACTCAGGCTAAAACCACTGTCTTCTGATCAAGAGCATCTAACCACTGTATTTACATAGGCCAGGAGTGTGCCATTTATAGGACTTGTTGCTTCCTCCCCATCTGCACAAATTTCAGCATCAAATAAAAATTTGCATTCTTGTATTGATTTTACAGTCAACCCATCATTTGCCTAGTGATGTGTTACTGTCAAAAGGTAGGATTACTTACATAGTCTCTTATCTAGCTTTCTTGACTGTTTTCTTGTGGACAGGTTTTCTTTCTTTCTTTCTTTCTTTCTTTCTTTCTTTCTTTCTTTCTTTCTTTCTTTCTTTCTTTCTTTCTTCCTTCCTTTCTTTCTTTACCCCTTCCTTCCTTCCTTCCTTCTGTCCTTCCTTCCTTCCTTTCTTTTTTTCTGCACTGGAGGTTGAATTCAGGGCCTTGTGTTTGCTAGGCAGGTGCTTTATCACTTGAGCCCCGCCCCCCCAGCCCTTTTGCTATAGTTATTTTTCAGTTAGTCTCAAGCTTTTTGCCCAGGCCAGCCTGGACCTCGAGCCTCCTCACTATACCTACTTCATAGCCTGTATGACAGGCATGTACCACCACACTTGACTAGTTTTCTGACATGGGGACTTGCCAGCTTTTTGTCATGACTGGCCTAGATTGTGATCCTCCCAATCTCTGCATCCTGAATAACTGGAATTCAAATGTGAGGCACCACAGAAAACATTTTCAAACTCTTCCACCAGGTTGATCTCTCTCCCTCCTACAGTGTTAATGTTATCTCTCTTAATCTCTACACTCTTTCTCTTCATTAACCATTACTTCTTTCTTCACATGACCCCATTTTTTTTGATATCTTACTGCATTCTGCTTCTTCTCTTTTTCAGCTTCCCATTCACAGTAGTCTGCCCTTATCTGCATGATGACCCAAGTGCTCCAGTGGATACTCAAAATAGGATAGTACTGAACCCCATATTCACTGTGCTTTTTCCTATTTATACATAGATATGATCGAGGTAATTAAAAATTAGACACATTAAGAGATTATAGTTATAACAATATACTCTCATGAAAGCTAGGTGAATGTTTCTTTTTTGTTTTCTTTTATCTTTATTAGCATATGTTAATAGTACAATGGGAATGCCTTTTGTTAATTCCATAGATACATAAGGTATACTTTGAACAAGTTACACCCCCACCCCTCTATTATATTCCCTTCACTCTCTTCCACCCCTTTTAAACAGTATTTGGTGAGTTTCATTATGCTATCTTCATATATGTATGTAACATTCTTTGATTGTCTTCAAATTTTCTTATTTTCCTATATCCACCCTTCTTCTTGTGATAATGTGAGATAATAAAGTACCCTTGGGAAGAGATCAGTGAGGTACTTAATGTAGACATTGTGACAAAGCATTAGGCCACTACATAAGGGTCACGTGAGCACAGTCATGGGAATACTATAATAGTGGATCTGATACTGAGATGAGTATATAGCCATACAAGGATGGTTACTCAGTGACTTATGACAGATGTGTATTTAGCTAAGACACCTGGACAAAGGCATGGCTCATGTTTTTGGCTGATCAGAGCAGGACAGCCTAAGATTTCATCATGCTCTCAAAATGGTACACAGTTAAAACTTATAAATTCATTATTTCTGGAATTTTCCATTCAGTATTTTCATACCACGGTTGACTGTGGATAAATAAAACCACAGAAAGCACAACCATGGACAAGGGGACTACTGTATTTTACTCCACAGTGTCACTCACTTGATACTTCATCATAGTCATTCTTATGTTTTCAATTATTTTTGAGGGTTTCTAATTTTGTGGAGTACTGTATTGCTCTGAAAATAATATTAAAAAAGTCACAAAACCTCTTCTTAAAGAATACTATCAGAAGAAAAACAGTGACAGCACCATCTTAGAGATCAAAGGTCTTTCTTTATCAAGTGCCCTACAGTTTGCTGAGGGTAATAGGGAAACAAATCAATTATTGAATAAGATTGTTCCAAGGTGCGGTAGGAGCAATGGTAACAAACTTAGGTGAAACTGGCAGGTGGAGAGAGAATCTAGAAGAGATGAGGCCATGCTGGAGCTAGGTCAGGCAGAGTGTGCATTTCAGACAACGGGCTCTGCAATGTGTAAGTATAATATTATAAACAAGGAATTAAAATGTATTGTGAAGACAAAGTAAGGTAAGAGGCATTCAAAACAAAAAAAGTGTCATGTACAAAGTGACACTTGACTTCTGTGTGGCTGAATCTGGTGATCTTACTTGCCTGTCTCATCTGGCTGAAGGATTAATTGAGAGCACCATGCCTTCAGACCCAGCTAGTCCTGCAAGGGACTGATATTCTGGAACTGGAAAGGCAAAGAATAATACATGAATGTATTGTATGGATGAATTGAATGGGAAGAATGACCCTGCAGCAGGATAGAGGGAGGTACAGGAAAGCAGAGGGAGGAAGAAGGGTGAAGATCTGATAAGACTGACATGAAAACTGTACTAATTGCTATGGTCCTTATACCTACTGCAGCCCTTTCTTTACCCTTTTCCAACTTCTCATTTTTCCACTTGCCTACACCCACCACTTT